ACTTATGTTGTATGAAACTAATTGGAACTTATGTATATACAGTCAATTGATTTTTAGCAAAGGTACCAAGAACATGCAATGAGGAAAGAATACTCTCTTCCATAAATGGTATTGAGGCAACTGAATACTCACAGACAAAATAATGAAATCGAACTCTTATTTTATGCTATATAGAAAAATCAATTCAAACTTTAAATGTAAAACCTGAAACCATAAAACTCTTAGAAGAAAACATAGGAATAAAACTTCTTCATAATGACTTTGGCAATGATTTCTTGGATATAACATCAAAAGCACAGGCAACAAAAACAAAAGTAGACAAATTGGATTACAGTAGACTAAAAAGCTCCTGCACAGCAAATGAAACAGCCAAGAAAATAAAAATGAAACCTATGGGATGGGAGAAAATATTTGCAAAACATGTATCTGGCTAAGGGTTAATATCCAAAATATAAAAGAAACTTTAACAATTCAACAGCATAAAAATGAAAAAACTCATTAAAAATGGACAAAAACTCAATAAAAATGTCCAAAGAAGACATATAAATGGTCAATAGGAATATGAAACGGAGCTCAGCATTAAACAACTCAATAGCAAAAAATTAATAAACTAATTAAAAATGGAAAAAGGAACTGAATTAACATTTCTCCAACGAAGACATATAAATGGCCAATAGGAATATGAAAAGGAGCTCAATATCACTAATCAGGGAAATGTAAATCAAAACCACAATGAGATATCACCTCATGCCTGACAGGATGGCTATTATTAAAGTGCACATGCACACACATACACACACACATAATGATAAAAGATAAGAAATGTTGGCCAGGATATGAACAAAAGAGAAATTGGGCAGGGTGCAGTGGCTCATGTCTATAATCTAGACACTTTGGGAGGTTGAGGCAGGATGATCACCTGCCTCAGAGAGATGCCAGGAGTTTGAAACCAGCCTGGGCAACAGAGAGACCCCATCTTTACAGAGAATACACAAATTAGCTGGGGTGGTGATGCAAGCATCTGTAGTCCCAGCTACTCAGGAGACTGAGGCAAGAGGAAGGCTTGAGCCCAGAGTTTGAGGCTGCAGTGAGCTAAAATTGTGACCCTGCACTCCAGCCTGGGAGACAGAGTAAGACCCTATTTCTAAATTGAAAAAAAGAAGAAGAAGAAGAAGAAGAAGAAGAAGAAGAAGAAGAAGAAGGAGGAGGAGGAGGAGGAGGAGGAGGAAAAAGCTAGAGAAAACTTTTACATGGTTGGTTGAGAATATAAATTGATAGAGCAACTATGTTAAATACTTTGAAAATTCCTCAAAAAATTAAGAACAGAACTACCATGATGCAGAAATCTTACTTCTAGGTATACATACAAGGAATTGAATTCAGGATCTGAGAGATACCTATAACCTCCATGCCGGCTGCCACATTATTCACAGTAGCCAAGACATAGAAGCAACCTAAATGTATATTGATGGATGAATAGATAAATAAAAATGTGATATACACATAAAATGGAATATTATTTAGCCTTAAAAAGGAAGAAAATCCTGCCATTTGCAACAACATGAATGAACTTTGAGAACATTATGCTACGGAAAATAAGCCAGACACAGGACAAATACAACTATACAGTATCACTTATATGATTAACATATTCAAATTCATAGAAGCCGACAGTAGAATGGTGGTTGCCAAAAGATAGGGAGATAATAAAATAGAGAAGTATTTTTCAAAGAGTATGAAATTTTAGTAATGTAAGATATCTTAGTAGTGCAATGCATAAGTCCTAGAAACCTATTACACAGCATAGGTGCCTACAGTTAACAGTGCTGTATTCATATACTACCTAAAAATTTCCTAAGAGGATAGATCTTATGATAACAGTGCTTAACACATAATCGTAATCATAATAATTAACAAAGAGGGGGAGGAAACTTTTAGAGCTAATAAATATGTTTATGACATAAGTTGTCATGTAGGTCCCATGGATATACATTTACCTCCAAACTTATCAAGCTGTATACATTAAATAAGTAAAGATTTTAGTATGACAATCATGCTTCAGTAAAATGCATTTTTTAAAAACTGTTTGTATTTTTGTTAAGTGGGGAAGGTAAAAATCCTTGACTAGACAATGATCATCAATGTCTGCTAAAGCCTATTGATGGGAAACATCATTATGGATGGATGGGGATGACAAAACTGGAAATTCTGACCAATTTTAACATTCATCAGATTGGGACAGCCAAATATTATTTACCTCCAGATAAGACACATAAAACAGTAGATATATATTATCATATAATAATAATAATAAAAAATCCCCTTAGGAATCAAATCAAGTCTCTCGCATTTTATAGGAAATATAGAGGATGAAAAATAAGTACTAACATGCCACGTGAAAACAATCAGCTGAATAAAGAATATGAGACACTACATGACAATGACCCATTTCTTTAACAAATAAATGGTATGGAGTATGGTGGTGAGATGTTGGAGAGAGAGAGAGAGAGAGAGAGAGAGAGAGAGAAAGAGAGAAACTGAAGAGATAGCAAACAAATGTAATGCCATAAGTGGGAGTGAAGTGCATCTTGATTCAAACAAATTAGTTGTAAAATACTGTTGTGGATGCAATCAGAGAAGTTTAAATGTGGACTGAATATAAGATGACATTAAGGAATGGTTGTTAACTTTAAGGTTGATAATCACATTGTGGTTATATAAAGACTATCATTTCATGTACCAATATATTTATAGATGGAAAGGTATGATTGGGGCATTTAAGTTAAACTATTTCAACCAAAATAAGAAAATAAACAACAACAAAAAAAGAGCTGCTTAAACTAAGAATCATGGGCAAAAATATTGATAATAATTAAAATAGGATATTATGATACAATTCTCTCTTCTCTTCAAATTTTCATAATTTTTATAAGAAAGTGTATTTTTTAGCTTCTGAGCCCTTCTAGTTGATATGTTAGTGAAATACAGTTCTCAATTAATTTTGGTTACCAGCTGGCATTTAAACAGTAAGTATAATCTTTTACTAGATAATACATTCTCATGGGTCAAAAATCAAAATAATATTTTTAAAAGGTATACATTAAGAAGTATCACATTTACTCCTGCTTCCATTCACTCAATTCTTCCTGTCCTCCAAAGGTAGTAGCTTTTATTTATTTCTGTATTAGGTTTTTTAAGCAAATAGAAACAAGCATGTATATATTATATATATTTTCTCTCTTTTATACAAAAGAAAGCATAAAACATTTAGTCTTCTGCATGTTTCTTTTTTTTACTTATGTATGCTGGAAACATTTCCATAACAATAAATGGAGATATTCCATCTTTTTATGGCTACATAGTATTCCATTGTGAGCATATAATGGAATACATATTTGTTATTTTCTTTCCATCATCTTTTGCCATCTTAGCAATTTCATATGCATGGAAGAATATATACAAGATAAATTCACAGGGTAAAAGCAATTATGATTTCCATAGATATTGCCAATGTCAATCCATGTGGATTATGTCATTCATTTTACATTCACACCTGCAATATATGAGACTGCCTGCTTTTTCACAAACTGATCAACAAAAATGCAGCCAGAGTTTTGTATGTTTTACAATATGTTAGGTAAGCAATACGATTTCTGTATAATTTCAATGTGTACATTTCTAATTATAATAATGGTTGAACATCCTTTTGTATGGTTAGAAACCATTGTAGTTATTTTTAAATTAATTTTTGCTTCTTAACTTTTACATATTTTTCTTTTACATTATTGATCTTTCCTCTCTTTTTAGGAATTCTTTGTATATTAAAGACATTAACCCTTTGTTATAAGTTGCAAATTTTTTTTCCATTCTGTGATTTATTTTTGTCTTTGCATTGATAATTTTGTGATGCAGGTTTTCATATCCTTACATATTTAAATTTATTATATTTTCTGTTAAGATTTCTGATTTTTAAGTTACAGTTAAATAAATTTTTCTTCCTTATCATAAGGAAGTATATAAAAGAATCTATATTTTATTCTAGTATTTCTATGGTTTTACTTCTGATATTTCACTTTTATATGTTTAGACATTATTCTGGTGTTTGATTAAAGGTGTAGATCCAGTTGTCTTTTTTTCCAGTTGACTTCTCAGTTATCACAGTACCAAGTATTTAAAAGTCTACTTTTATTCTTCTACTTAAAAATGCTACTTTTATCATATGCTAAATTTCCATATTTGGATCTATTTCTGAACATTATATTCTGTTCTGTTTGAATATAAAAGCTTTTTTTTTTTTTTTTTTTAATTTAATCAGAGTCTTGCTCTGTCACCCAGGCTGGAGTGCAATAGTGTGATCTCAGCTCACTGCAAGCTTAGCCCCCAGGGTTCTAGTGATTCTCCTGCCTCAACCTCCCTAGAAGCTGGGATTACAGTCACCCGCCACCACGCCCAGCAAATTTTTTTGTATAGTAGAGATGTGGTATCACCATGTTGGCCAGGCTGGTCTTGAACTCCTGACCTCAGCTGATCTGCCCGCCTCGGCCTCCCAAAGTGCTGGGATTACAGGCGTGAGCCATTACACCCGGCCATAAAATCTTTTAATATGATTCAGTATCTATTTGGGCTAGTACCAATAAGTTTTCTATAAATATTTCATATTTTTGAAAATACTTTTTACTTTTTATTTTTCCATATGTATTTTAGAATCAGCTTCCTTAGTTCCAAAGCAATACAAGTAACAACCCCTTCAGAAACAAAACAAAACAAAACAAAACATGGGATACCTTTACATTGGGCAAGTATAATTTTATGTCTTTAAGAATTATTTAAAAATTTTTTCATAAAGGATTTGAATACTATTTATTAGGCATTTGTAACACTTATTAATGCTGCAGAACACACTACCTGAACTTAGAGGTATGAAATATGTGTTTTATTATGCTCTTGCATTCTGTGGGTCAAGAATTTGGAAAGGGAGCACTGATGACTCTCTCTTCTAGATGATGTCAACTGAAAAGACTTGAAGACTGGAGATGAATCAAAGGCAGGAGTATCTCCACGCCTGGGGAAAGAACTCATCATCTGATGCCATCTTCATTCACATGTTTAGCTGTTGACACTGCCTGTTGTCAGGACTCTCAGCTGGGGCTGTCCCATGGAAACTTATGTATGGCCTCTCCATGTAGCCTGAGTTGCCTCACAGCATGATGGCCTTGGACATCTTACCTGGTGCTCAGGGCTCCAAAGGCAAGTATTAAAAAAGAACAGGGGAAAGCTGTACCACCTATTGTAACCTAGCTTCAGAATCAGATAGCATCACTTCTACCATACTCAGCGTCACCCAGCAACAAGGGGAGGAACATAGATATCACTTCTTGATAGGAGGGATGTATAAGTCACTGAGATTATGTGGGTAAAAGATATTGCTGCAGTCATTTTTAGAAAATTTAATGTGTCATGATATTTTTCTTGGATTGTTTTTATTGTTGCTTTTTATGAATTGGGTCCTTTCTTTCATTTTATATCCTAAGTGTTTATGATTTAATGAATACTACTGATTCCTGTATATTACATCTGCTGATGCAACACATATAACCTTATTGAGTTCTGCCACCTCCCGTCTTTGTATTTTATTCTTTTGGGTATCAGTTGTATTATGAGAAATCAACAGAGAGTTTTACATTTCCCACTCCAATTTTGTTGAGTGTTCCACTCTTGCATAATTGTGTTGGCTGTGAGCCTCAGTATAATGTTAAATGTAATGGTGACTGTAGACATCCTCACTTTTTTCCTGACTAGCAGAAATGCCTGTGCTTTTACATTAACTAAAGTAGTGCAACTGAAAAGAAGACATATTCCTTATAGTTTTTTAGATATGGTATTTGATAGCTAGAGAATCATTGTTAAAATATTTTCATTGTGAAGAATAATCTTTGCTTATTAAATATATTTTTAAAAATAATTTTTGGCCTCATATTTTCTCTACTCTGATATTAAGGTCGCCAACCCTGATTCTGTTTTATGGCTTACACTTTCTTTCCCTAAACATCATATTGGTGTTGGCTCCACTGTCTTCTGGCGTTAAAAACTAGAAAAAGTCTGACACTAAACTCTTTTTCAAAGAGTACTAATGTTCTTGCTTATTCACTTAGTGAATTATTTATTCATCTTTAGAGACTGATAATCTTATTAGGTGTTGACTGGAGCTGATTTTACTTGGTAATAAATACATAGAGTCAATATATAGATTCATATCTACATATCGATTCACATCTTCATTTGGTTCCATTTTTAAATGATATTTTAAAATACTTATTCTCTCCCATTGTTTTACTTTTTTAGGACCTTCAGTTACACAAGTACTAAATTTCCTTTACCTATTTTCTAAATTCATTATTTTATTTTTATTTATCTCCTTATATGTTTCTTTTTCTTCTTTCTTACTTCATCAAAGCCATTATTGTGGTTTTCATGCCATCATTCATCCCTCTCCTCCTAAGCCTTGGAATTTCTTTTTCATTGTTGAAATAATTTAGTAATTTTCTTCTCATGAGTTTTGTCAATTCCTTTTATTTTTTTCAGTTTTCTGACTGTCGCCTCTTACTGTGTGACTATGTTATTTCAGAATTCTTGTGTTTCTGCCTTGTGATTTTTCTTCATAGCTGGAAATAATTCACATTTATATACAAAAAGTTTTGGAATATTCTATTACAATTTTAGCTGCTGTGTGGTAAGATAATTTTAGTGATTATTCCTTTCCTGTTGGAAAATTTATCTATAGTTTTTCATATTTTTATCCTATTTTTGCCTTTTTAAAATTTACCTTTTTGTTTGTCCTTATATTTACATGAAAGCAAAATATTCCTGGATGTGAGGATGAGGCAGAGGAGGGTGGGTAAGGATGACCTCCCTGCTTCACAGCTCAAGCTGGAATGGTATGGGCAGTGCTATGGTGGGAAACCGACCAGTTTACAACAGACATCTCAACCAGCCATTAGATTGTAAAGAAAACATTAAAATATACAGGAGCGAGTCTCTATTGAAAACCAGCCCTGAGTTCAAGATGTTTCCTTATGGTTGTGGTATTTCCATGTCGGCACATTTCCTTTGCTTCTAAGAATCTAACTTGGTTCTAGAGGGCTCCATCTTCCAGAGTTGTGTCTCCTGCTGACTCTGTTTCCTGCTTCCACCAAGGGACAGAGCGAATGGGAATCATTCACTTTTATTTAGAAAGTGGATTTTTTACTGATGCTTGCAAAATATCATCTCTGAGCTTTTCTGGGCAATTTTTAAGTCTTCCTTCTACCCCTAGTGCTTATTCCTATTTATCTCTCAACATGGTTCACAGCAGTTTGCCCTCAGTGTGGGCCCTTCACATATATGAGAGTGGATATTTTGCTTGGTGTCTGGGACCTGCATCTGCAGTGCCAACACTCCCCCATCTTTCCTGCCACTGCATCATGGCTGCATTAGGGACTTCCTGTCTGGCTCTGCTGGTTTTAGCTGCTCTTGGCAGCATGTACACATAATTTAAAATTTGTGGGTTTTCTTTGTTTTCTATTTTAAGTAAAAAGGGAGTGGTGATATTTTTGTTATTTTCCTTTTAATTATCTCACTGGTCTATTTCCAGAGGAAGCAGAAAGATTCAGAATTCAGCTGCCACTATGCTCTCCAGAATCATAATTAAAATAATTGTTTTTGTTGTAGTAAAATATGAAGTATACTCCCACTTAAGTAGAATGGACTTTTCATATGAAAGTATAAGATTATTTAAAAGATGTCTCCCTGATCAAAACATATTCTCCACTGGTGAATTTTCAAGACGTGTTTTGGACAAAATTGAGAAGGGCAAGTTTGATAAACTAGTTAGATAAGCAAATCTATGCAGAGTCTGTCATTCTCTGAGAAATAAAAACGGGATAGAGAAAAAAAGTCAGATTTACATGTTACAAAAATGCTGTTCTTTATTTTAATCGACAGAATTGGATTAGATTGCGGCATCAGCATGCATTTCTCATTGTTTTCTTTCTATATTAACTACAGGAGACTCATTGGAATTTCATGGATGTAATTGTTTCTGGGTTACATCCTCAATTAATGACTATAATTGAAAGATGGGATAAAACTGGGATGACGTGACTGTAATTTAAGTGTAAGATGTCTGGGCCTCTATTTACAATGCATTTGTTAGTATTATTTTTTCCTACTGCGGAGGAGTATTTACGAGAGGCAGAAATAAATGCATTTCAAACAGCAATGTCTCAATCAAAACAATGAACATATTGTGCGCAGGGTGTTGTTTTCCTGGGCTGTTTTGTGACTATGCAGCCCTCAGCATGATACATGTGCATATAAAGAGCTTGTGCTCAGATCTTCTGGGAGGACTTGGGGGAGGAGAACATGTTCCAACAAAGGGGAGGTGGAGGAGAGGCTATCTCTGCCCTTTATGTGCTGCGTTATAACAACCGTTCAAAACCCAGGAGCTCAGCCTGCACTTGTCAAGGATTCCCTAATCAGTTTTAGATTATGTCATGGGGAAAGAAAAAAGGAACTCCCCCAATCCCTTAATTAGGGCTCTCCTCTGCTTCCCTCTCATTTTAGTCCTCCCCCCAACCAAAGTAGATATTAACCTTATTAGCTTTTTGAGCAGTGCATCGCTGATTATCCGCACACAAGCCACGAGAGCAGCTGCAAGGGGCAGCTGAACAATTATCTGGAGGTAACTGGGTTTGATTCAGACTCTGGGAACAAAGTTCACAGACTGGAGCTCCTGGGTTGAGGAGTGTCTGTTATTGCTCCATCCAGGGTCAGAAGAGGACTGGGTAGCTCATTGTATGTCTTTTACAATGGTAACGAATTTTCCTTTTCTCACGAGTCTTCTGAATTAGAGGGAATGACAAAAACAGCCAAAGGATTAAAAGTTCAATAGCTGAGCTAGAAATACTAGGATAGGTGTCTGGACTAAACCACCATGAAAAGCAAAAAGAAAGTGGGAGATGAACTAGGTAGGAATAGAGAGAGAGGGAAGAATCACTGATTCAGAGGTGACTTAACATCGATAATAACTTGACAATTATGTACTTTTTAAATAACTCTCATACTGACACTGCCCGCTGAGGAATATTTCCTAACGCAGGACCTGTGCTTAAGAAACATGCAGATTATCAGGCCCCACCAGACTACAGGAATCAAAATTTCCGGGTGTGAGGTCCAGGAAGTTGCATTTTTCCAAGCTCCTGGGTGATTCTGACAGATGTTGGAGCTTGAGAATGACCTGGGAAGAGGCTTTGGAGAGTAGAATGAATGGAATGGCAGTGACAAACCAGAGACAAGCTGGGAGTAGGTGGATTGAAGTTGGATTCGCCAGGCTTATAGTCTGTGCTTACCAATAAGGAGGCTGTGAATCAGAGGAGGTAAGTCTCTTCCTGTAAGCTAAATATCTAGTAAGTGGCAGAGCCATGGATTATACTTAAAGCTTTAAGTCCAAAGCTCTTTTCTTTGTACCAAACTTAAGTCAGCTGGAATAGAAATGTGCTAGAATTTGGATGGCAGGTTACAGGAAGTAGGCAACGTGGTTTGAGATCCAGGCCTTGATTTGGTTATATGTCGAGATAAGGACATCTTTCAGGAAAATGATGTGAAAGGCAAAATGTGTTTCATGTTCTTTAATCCAGTATTCTAAGCTTATCTTTTATTTGCCCCCTTCATGAATTTTTTTTCATACATCTCTGGTGCATGTTAGCTATAAAAATATATATCCAACCTTTTTGTGTTCAATGTATGTGTTTTTAAATGTAGCATGATTCTAACTCATATCACAAAATTATCACTTTGATATGTTGATTTTTGTAGCACATATTAGCAAATATTCAACTAAAATTTCTTAAAACATACATCTGCATATTATTTACAATTATCTTGCCAGTGGTACTACATGTACCGCACTTTAGATATTGTGCTTTTACCTATTTTATCTTTTGCTTAGTGCTTCTTTACATCACTTTCCAGCTCCCCATTGTCTAGGACCTGTCTGCATGATCTAAAACCATCATATTTATTGACTTAGCCTATTCAGCACGGCTTTCCTAGTGGTGCAGCCTGGGTCACCTTCTCCAGCACCTTCATTTGCCTTCTTTCCTTTTTGTTGCTGAACTTCTCTCCCAGGTCATATTTCTAGCTGAATTTTAGCCACACCGTTTGGATCTCTGCACCTTTAGTCATCCTAACAAGCTCTCTTCATTTACTTCACATAGGCATCTTATAAATTGCCTTCAGTCACATTGCCCCTTATTCACATGGTGTCAGTAAAATGTTTGATTGATTAATAAATTGATAAATGATTTCAGACTACCAAGTTTATTTTAGGTGACTTTTAAGGGTTTAGATGAGAGGCAATAAAATGAACACATAAATACAATCTTCACATACTGATTTCTGATTTCTTGTATGGAGAAAACAAAACAGAGTAAAGTATTAGAGAGAGAGAGACAAGAGAGTTGTACTCTATTGGGATAGATAGGGAAGATTTCTTTGAGAGGGGAAGACTTGCATAATGAGAAGGAACCAACAAGGAGAAGATCTGGAGGAAGAGTGTGCAAGGTGGAGGTGTACTAAGACTCTGAGATAGGAGTGGACTTGAGGGTCCAGTTGGGGGACGGAGGAGCAAAACACAATCCAAGAAGAAGAAAAGTAAATAGGAAGAGAGGTCAGAGAAGAAGACAAGGGAAAGATCCCATCATCCACAGCAAGAAGGATGAGATATACTCAAGCATAATGAAAGCCACTGGAAGAGGTTCCAAAGGGAGGAACATGATCTAACCCCTTGGTCCAGGTTCCAGAG